GTTTTGGACCTCCACGTGCGGAGCGCACCGGCTATCAAGTGATATGCTTCGTTTTTTTTTTTGGCTGGATGAGCCCCTGTTGGCCTTAGGGACCTCCACAGTTCCGACGGGCTTGAGGGGGCCTGGCGCACGAGGCGCCTAGCCTGAACCTCGGCGTATTATTATTACGCGTTATGGCGACTAAGCTCGAAGGCTCCCGAGGGAGCCTCGGCTCGGGCCGTCATGCTGTTATTATCACCGGTTTGGGAGGCCGCCAAGCTCTTAGGGCGCTTTGGCGGGCGCTCCATGGAGTGATCAGGCTCAAGGGTCCCCGAGAGGGGACCTCGGCTTTGGCTGTCACTCAACACGCGTTTAGCATTCCGATTCGAGGGTGCCCGAGAGGGCCGGACCTCGGCTCGATCGGTAGCTATTATCTGACTGGTACGCTTCCTATTCACGATGTCTTATACAGCGTGTCGTTACAACCGCGACAATAAATGAACACACATATAGATGATAACTTTTTAAAATTGTATTAAACATTTACATTCTTTAAACATCAATATTTACCGAGTTATTAAATATTCCAAAAACAAACAATTTTAGAACATCCTTACGTATAATAGTGTAACGTAAAGTTCATTTGTAAAGATCACAAAGCATATGAATGGGTTGAATGAATTTAAAAGAGACAAAACATACTGTTAGAAGGAGAGGCTTGTAATGCGACGCTGTGGCGCGAGTTGTATAGGACGTTACAAATTTTGTTTCTTTTTTACTTAACTAGTTTGTTTGAAACTTATTTTTTTTAAATTATGGATTTTGTTTAACGTTAATATTTTTTATGATTATTAAGTAGCTTTAGGCGTGTGTTCATTTATTGTCGCGATGGTAACGACACGCTGTATATACATCATTAAGTCCGCGTGTATGAGCTAGCACTGTCGTCTTAGCGCGTCATCGAGGTCATTAAATAATAAATGGCGTGACGGCCTTGTCACATTACGATTATGTGATTCCTAGCTTGTATGAAAACCGAAGGTGGAATCTTTGCACCACCCGCAATTACCGATATATTACTTCTTATATATTTACAATACTAACTCACTACGATGTACTCTAGCTGTAATGCCTTTGGTCTACTTGACAGGTTCCTAAACATGCTTTCTAAACCACCAAGCATTTCGATATAATCGAGTTATTTGTTTTTACGTTCTAAATCTCCCGCGCAGAAGGCTAGGTTAATACAATTTAATGTCATATTTTTGGCTGATACTATAATAAGTAATTGACGGTATCCCGGGCTAACTTTGACACCAAGACGTGTAACAACTCAGTATGTCCCACTATCATGAACGCCGGGAATTACAATTCAAAATTAAAACGTCATTAAATGCGTAAACTAGTTTAATTTAGTGTGATTTTATGAGGTTAAAGAATAACATGGTTATAGATTCCGTTGTAGTTGTACTGACGGGATGATGATGAGAGAAATACTGGATACTCAGTTTAGATACCACGGTGTTAGGGCCAAGAAACAGCCTCGGGTGTTGCACGAATGGGCAGGCCCGTCCGGGTAAGTACCACGACCTCACAGAAGACGGGCGTAAAGTGGAAGTATAAACATTCGCGTTTCGTCTGGTGAGTGGGGTGGCCGGAGCCCAATTTTCAAAACAACTTTTCACATAAAAAAATAAATGATACTAAAGTCAATAAAAATAATGCAATGCACCCGTTTACATATCAAAAGAAAAAAAAAAATCAAGAACTTTAGTCCCCATAAAAACGTTACATGCTCTCAAAAAGTGTTACGCTGATTTTGTAATAACGTAATGTACAGTTAAGTGAAACTTAGGTATCGAACGGGACTTTCTAAAAGATTGTTAATGAAAGAATTTCGAAAAGCTGTTTACATTGCTTACATTCGCGTGCGTGTAATCGCGCAATCGATCACCCGCAACGGATCGTGTGCGATGCGATTTAGCACTTCTGCTCGTGCCAGCCCAATTTGCGAGCGTCGTGAAGCTGTCCGCACATCGGGCGCTGTCGAAAGTCTCCGGGGAGACATCGGGACGTGCCAATTGGCAAGGTTTCACCATGTTCATCGCCGGGGCCGGTAGTTACCGTTGTGACGTTTGATAAACTCCCTTTGATCGCTTGATTTGTTTTTTTTTCTATGTGTGGTGTCAAGACTCAAGAGATGTTCACCAGATGTTAAGTGATGAACCCCGCCTATTTTGCAGCACCCTTAGGGTTGCAGATGAGTTGCTAACTTTTACTAATAAGGGCTGACAAAGATCACTTTGTTAGCTTTGATAAAGCTTACTGAGATTGGGCCGCGTAGCAGCGTCGGCTGTTGCACGAATGGGCTGGCTCGAACCGTGGCACAGTAAACGTGCTCTTTCATTAACGTGTCCAACTCACCCAACTCAAACATGGCGCAGTCGGTAGAATTAAACTATAAATTATAATTTAAAATCAAGAATAGAAAAATTATCATTCTAACGCATTACCCACACCGTCAGGTATATATCCATGCGCGGCTCTAATCACACCGCTCGCTCGCCAACTTTTCACATAAGACACAGAAAGCTAATCGATGAAGCATTTTCTTCGTGTAAATTTATTTATTTCTTGAATTTGTTTGTTCGATTAGGATATTTACTACAAGATTAAAGATCATAAAATTAATTCAACTCCAAATTCTCTTATTTGTTTTTATTAATGTTAAAAGTTAGTAGTGACGTATATGGCTTTTCCTCAATAGCAATCTTTTATTTCGATGTATTTTGGCATCCATTCGCGTTCCACGTGCACTATGCATTGCAGATATAAACATATATCGGCTGCACTTAAATCTCTAGTCCTTCATTAAAATTTGCCAGCGGGCTTCCCCACGTGCTAAGATCATTTGTTGCTTGTTCGCGGAAGCTACGAGGCTTCATTTTTTTATGTGTTTGTCTCTATGTTACTCAATCGACCAAGTGATCATTTTTACCGAATATAATTTTTTCCCTTTTTGTCTATGATTATTCGCATGTGCCGTGATAGCTCAGTGTCCAGGCGCTCGCCTTTAATTTAATATACTCGAGCAACCTGTGTTCGATCCCCGGTGCCGGCACGTGCTCAGCGATGAAGGAAAACATCGTGAGGAAACCTGCATATTTTCGAAATAATAACAAAAAAATATTTCGAAGATATGTGAAGTCCGCCAATCCGCAGTGTGGCCGCGTGGTGGTCTCTGCTCAGGATACCCTCTGTACAGAGCAGCAGTGGGACATGTATAGGCTGGTACCTTACTTTACTTTTTTTATTCGTATGTATGACAGTTGTAAGTATAATTCGATGTAACATATTTGTATCGAACTCAAATCCCAAAGCGAATATTTCACTCACCGTAAGATCGCAGCGTATAAAATACAAAGTGTGGCATACGACCGATCAACAACATTAAGAACTAAAGTCGCTTGTCTTCACTTATTTCAAGAATAAAAAGAACAAATGATTTTAATGCGACGCCATTAACTTGAACGCGCTACGTTATCGAAAATATCCGGAATGCGCAGTTGAATAGCGTGTATACTCAGGCCATGATAAAGATTACACATACTGTATACACATGGGCACGGTCTTACATTCAGGTGTAGCAACTCCGCAGAATTCCAATAGCAAGGAGAGACTTCACTGTTGAGGAAAAATCCAGATAAATACAATATTTCTAGGACACATTTTATCACAACGTTCTCTAGTCCCAAACTAAGCAACGCTTGCACTATGGGTATTAGATAACTGAACATACATAAAAACACTTTTGTAAATAAATCCATATTATATATTTATAAACACCCAGACACTGGGAAAACACTATGTTCATCATACAATATTTTTGCAGTAGTGGAGATCGAGCAACCTGAGTTCGGTCCCCGGTGCCGGCACCAATGAAGTTTTTAACTGTAAGTGCTGACTTATCACGTGCCCCGCGGTGAAGGAAAACATCGTGAGGAAACTAATAACAGAAAAAATAATATTTTGAAGATATGTGAAGTCCGCCAATCGATGGTGGACTTTGCCCTGATACCCTCTGTATAGAGGAGGCCTTTGCCCAGCAGGGGGACATGTATAGGCTGTTACTTTACTTTACTTTAGTGGAGATCGAACCCACACCCTCTGCCGGCAGGTTCACAACCCACTACGCCAAGATGGCGCTGCGATCGAAACACGCATCGACATAATCGACATTTTTGAATTATTAACACATATTGAATAGAACAGAATTCCAAGTCTGTGTCATTGAGCAACGGATACAGTCGTTTTAACTCACTCGTATAGAGTATTCCTGAAAAATCTATGGTCTTTAACTATGATACGGCCACGCACAAACTTCTTCGGTTGCCTTGTAGAGGACCGACGTGAATTAGAATCATTTGTATATTTGTAATATTTGTTCTGAAGTGTGAAAAGAAGGTCACTCTCGCAGGGTTGGACCTATATCTTCAAACTCCCGGAATTTTCAAGATGTCCGTGGACGGAACTCATTATCTAACATAAGGTGAACCGTTTTCACATAAAAAGTTGAATCCATTTTGAGACAGGTGTAACTGGGAGGATGCTTGAATAAACTGAGTCTGAGTTATGAATACATCTGCAACACCAGAAGGGTTGTCTTCATGTTTTTAGACAAACTCGATCCCTCTTCTGTTTACACCACTCTTTAATGAAGAGTCAATACCTTAGTTACTACCACTATTGTTATCGTTTACCTCATACCAATATGATCTAATTTTAACACGCACTCTATCAGTTCAGGTCATAAAGCTCTTAAACCCTGATACTGTAACAAATCTGCGACTTCATCGTGACATTCATAACGTGATGTATTAACATTTGGTTCATGTAAACGATAGCACGGATATTCAGAGTGATTGAAATCAATTGTTTCGGTACTGCACGGAGGCGAATTACATACTTAAATTTTCAAAGGCGTAGCGATACTTTAAACAAATGTACCGAGATGTAGAACAATGCCGATTCGGCCTCGCGCCAGGCTGAAACACGAAACTGAACCGTACAAAGCTCCACGGAACATGCGCCCGCTGTCACCGCACGGTGCTCACTGCGCCGGCCTTATCACGGCGAGCGATTTGTGTTCCGTCCGTGATAATACCCCATGGCGATCAGTGCCGCACGGCCGCCCGCCAAGAGCTGACGCGGCAGCCTTAACGCGCGTCGCATCGAAACATGTTGCGCTCTCGAACGCTCCAAACGTATCGGGCAACGTGACAAGCTCGGCCGCCTCATCTACACATTGTTGTGCGCGTGTGACGGTGTGCTACGATTCTATCTGCCTCGTCTTAAGGATCTCCTTTATCAAGGCATTGTTCTGCGACTGGATTGTGTGCCGGCTCTAGTCTAGGATTACGCGGTCGATGCGTTGTGCGTTTCGCTAGGATCTGCTGGCATCTAATGCGTGGTTAAAGTGAGCTCGGGAAATGTTATCTTGGCTTTGCTGGCTTCGAAAGATTAAAATGCGTTATGTCAATGTAATTGTCTCAGAAGTTTTTTCATACGTAAAGTAACAGATGAATAAAGATCCTTGGAATTAGTGTTAGGCATTGTTGGATTCATAAACAGTATCTGGTATTTATGCGTGTATCCTAATACCGTTTTTTCTAAGTTGCCGTGACTGCAAGCTTTTTACTAATCTATATTTAGATCATATCAATAATGTCTGTTTGAAGAATATTTCGAAATATCGGGACGTTAAAATTACGTTTCTTTATCCCCTTTTGAATCTTCTAACTTGTTATTAAATTGAAGGTTCTGTATACTGTGCCTTAAAACCAAACATCTACTTGAGGATCCGAACGTGGATCCTCAAGTAGATGTTTGGATTCAGTAATAGTTTATTGTTACACAAAGCAAGCCACCATCCCTGTAAATCAACGATTTAAGGAATAAAAGCTACTACGACCCGTAAGCTTTAGTATACGTGCATTATGAATTACTGTGTGTGTCCATAAGTTAGACGAGTATTTGCGTTTCTGCGTTGCAAGTAGCCATAAAACCACCATGAGGTAGCCAATGTAGACAGATTTTCAGGCTTGGGGTGATGATATCTATTTGGTGCATCTTCTCGTCTCGTCGTCTCAAGCCTTGTGGCTTTTAAAGTGAGATAATTTTCATTTGAAAACCAATGTATGTTTATTAGTTACCTGGTACCAATAGTACTTGCTTCACTTAGTGTGGAACTAAATAGATAGAAGGGTGTTTAAAAATCTGTTCCGATAATATTTATTTATTTATATTTATTAAATACAACTGGAAGGTTCCTTACAATCACACAAGTCGTAAAGTAATTGCCCTGTCGCAATTCAATTGCCGTTTTGGAATATTCAACTGAGGCGTTCTCTAATCGACCATCGACTGTTTCCACTCGAGTCGGTTCGCGTTTTTGTCCAGCCTCGCCTCGCTCCGCGCTCGTCCCCAGCTCGCTTTTAATTGAATTCTGCTGACCTCATTTCGGCCAACGCGTCGCCGCCGTTTGTCTAATCACTTCGCTGGCTGCCTTTTGCCTCCGTATTACGTGTCAACGGACCGCGTCGCCTTTAATCTACCGCTGGACCTCTGTTTTTACTACCTATAGCGTTTGGATGAATGGTCAGTTAGCGCCTACTAGTTCGGGAATATTTTCGTTGTAGTTGTTGCGGTACTGGGTAGGACGTAGCTACGTATTGTCCACGCCGAGGAAAAGTAACATGAAAAAGTTATTAAATATCATGCGTGGGCAGGGAAGATGAGAGAGGACGTTAAAACTTACCCTCTTCTGTGTCAAGTGGGAGGCCTTTTGGCTGGAAGCTTTAGAAAATATATAGGGAATAACATCTTATGTGAATAATTTCTTAACTTTTTTTATGTTTCACGGTGGAAAGTGGATAGTATTTTCTTCTTGAAGATTTCAGAAGAGAGCTCGACGCAACTGGTAGACGGTGCTCAGAATAAAATTAAGTATTACCATAATTATTTTGACTAACAATAAATAGTGTTCTCAGTCTTCGGTGAGTTAGCAACTCCTTACCGTTTGTCTTCACAAATGTTAAGTTGTTCACATCGTTTCAAATAACCGATATGAGTTTTGTTACACATTTGTAATTTAATACCTCATAGTTTTCTCGATGGAACTTTTTCGACTAGACTATATTTTAAAGACGTTAAATAAGTGATTGTGAGCCTAAATTTGTTAAAACTGTAAGAAAATGGATCAAAAATTACAACAGACGTCATCTGGCGCTTGTGAGATAAACATATGCATCTATGTCTGTGTATATGTTAATGTTATTGCACGTAGATCTTTAAGTGTTTGAAGAGGGTTTAACTCATGTAGGTTATCAAGTCAAATCAGTGCTCCATACACGGTGTATAAGTTGTTGTGGAAGTAGTAGAGAGCCTCCTTACATGTGCAGTCGCTGAATATTCAAATTCAAAATATCTTTATTCAAATATGTTATTATGAATAGTCGAATTTTTCATAAAAAAAATTATATATATATAGGTTCGTAAGATACCCTCAGCGAGTAATAGCTAGTTTATTATAATCGCGATAATAGCCGTAGAATAGTTTGATTGAAATGCATCATTTGGTTGGTAGTCGGTACAAATTACACTGTTAAGTGGAACTAACTTCACATCTTAAGTTAATTGCTCAGATGTCCATGGCGGCGAATTAGTCATATTCGGTGCGACATTTTGACGAATACTCGTGGATTGTTCGTGTCACAGCGACGGTCTTCGTTTATGTTATGTAAGTTTGTAAGTTAGGCGCCTTGTTTGTTTGAATGTTCCAACAATCGCTTTTCTAATATTATCTTTACGGCCGTAAAGCGTGTACATAGTTTTTTTTTCACCGAAAAGTTATCTGATATTCTTAGATATGATATTTTTGATGTCATTTTCTGATGTCAGAACTATTTATTAAGATTTCAGTCCGTTCCCGGTTTTCAGGTTACAAAGCAGATGGCGTCTCAAAAATTAGTGATATAATTTGTTGAAAAAATCTTCTAGGGTATTTCGACGGTCTCACAAAAGATCAACGTGAGATAAAATTATTATTTATACTTTTTCGTTTCATAGTAGTGAGATATCACCTTTTCAGTCTGTTTATTTGTCAACTTTCTTAATCCTTACTATCTGGAGAAATCGTTCCTTGTCTTCCTCTTCTTCTTGTAAAGAAGTTGCACGAATGGGCAGGTCCGACTGTTGCGTGGCTCTACCACAGTTTTCTCTCGCCTGGGGGATTTCTCGATCCCCTACTATACAAAGTATACTGTAAATCTAGCATAATGTGAAACGAAACATTACTTTATACAGTAAAGTAAGTAAATAAAGATAGATGATCTTTTGTAAATGCCTCCTAAAGGCCAACAGTGAACGACCCAACCAAAAGACCCAAAAAAAAGTGTATACATGTCGAGATTTTCGTGCTGCGAGATCATCGGCCACTTATCTCAGTCGGTAAAGCGCCTGGATAATACCGCAAGACTCAGGTTCGAATCCCGCAGCGCATTTCAAGTTTCATCTAGAGCGCAGACTAGCGCTAAAAATTAAATTAATCATGAATTGTGAAACTTGTTGCGACAATACGAGTGTTTTTCGCCTTGAAATGGGCCGCCGTATCTCGTGAATCTATCACACTTGACGTCCCCGGCCGGTCGAGATTACGCTGATCGTTTTATCACCCAAAAATAACGCACAATAATCTCAACACCTCAGTTACGAACCACTGGTTATACATGCTTAAATATTTTTTTTTTAGCCAAAATCTGTCAAACGAGCAGACGGTTCACCTGATGTTATGTGAATACCGCCGCCCATGGATATCTGCTACACCCGAGGTTTACAGATGCGTTTCAACTTTTTTAAAATTGGGCTCCGGCCACCTCACTTTACGCCGGTCTTTTATGAGGTCGTGGTACTTACCCGGACGGGCCTACCTATTCGTGCAACAGCCGAGGCTGCTGCGTGGCCCTACCACCGTAACAAAATAATATGTATTTCTGCATAAATATACAAAAAAAAAACAGAATTCTCTCGTTCGGCACACATTATGTTTAATAATATAGCGCTTTGAAATAAATTTACAGCGTTTGATGGTAGCTAAATGAAAAATAAAAGAATAAAAAAATGTAGTATTCAAAAAACTCAAACACCCCACGTTATTGCCCCAACGTCAATTTTTTCCTTAAGTGACAATTTCTACCAACTCACGCGTTAAAGTACTTCGATCCTAAAAGGAACAGAATATTCTTTCACCATTTGCTTTGGAGACTTGATATTTGCCAGTGGGAGGCTTGGTGTTACATCACCACTTCCCTGCCATCAACTCGGAGAGGAATAAAGCACCGTCTGGATAGATAGATAAGGAAAGGTTTCAAATGTAAGCATCGCACACGATCGAAACATGTTTTTATGTGTCTGATTGTAGACCAAATAAGTCTAAAATAGATATTTTAAAGCAACATCCTCTCACAGTTTGAAATATCGATAAATATACATTTTATATAAATACTAAATGAGTCATTCGAAAGGTTTTTCCCTGCAGTGACTAATTTTTGTAATAGACTCGTATAATTGTTGACATTAGTCTGTTTCATTTTTTTGTTTCATATATTTACTTTATACATTTTTATACCTATTTTACCTTTGCTAATACTTGTTTTAACTATTATATAACAAATGTAGCTATTGCCCACCTATCTTTATGCACACATTTTATTGGTGTTTGTAGCTTACTTTTGTTTCCCAATAAAAAAAGCTTATGTAGACCATTCAAAGGGCTTATTTTAATAATGTTTCCCTTTTATTTTTATTTTAAACTCTGTCCCATGACAATAATATAAGGAATTATCATGTAGGTCACCTTTAGCCGTCACTAGGTCTTCCCACCACACCGGGGATTAAATACATGATAGCTTTCATTATTTTCACAGTCTGAATCACATGAGTTGAATAGACACTTAAACATATATTTACTTCATATGCTTCAGCTGTCATCTGATCTATGCTAACATTGTGTGAAGTAAGATTTGTCTTTTTTCTTTTACGTAATTACTGTGACAACACAGTTTTTTGACCGATGAACATCTTCAAAAAATTATAAAATAAATATAAAGTCGTAAAAAAGATACATGTTTTCCGGTTGTCTGGTAAGTTGTCTGACTGTTGTAGCAAGTATGTGTGGTATGTGCAACAGAGTAGTCTTTGCTGTTGCACGAATGGGCAGACTAGTCCGGGGAAGTAACATGGTCTCGCAGAAGACTGAACAGAACTGAAAGTATTATATTTTCGCGTTTAGTTTAATGAGTTAGATGACGGGGACCAACTGTTTTTATCTCGGTGTCAAAGCATCTGC